TGGGGTCGCTGAATCTGAGGTTTCCTTACATGTTTCTGGTGTGCATTTGCCGCAATTATGAAAAAATGTCCTAAAAAGGCCTTTTGTTGCGGATTTTTTGAAATATAGCGGCTACGCATGAGATAAAATCCCGCGCGGATTTAGTTAATGTTTTGAATAGCTGACGTCATTTGGAAGAAAATGGTGTACACATATGATAGGTTTGCTCAAAATGTGAGGAAAATACAGCATCGTGAACATCGCGCCCATTCACGTTTTCGCGGCGCACCCGTCAACGTTCCCGCACCCGTTCGGTCCGCCAAGATTTCCGAGGTTCCTCAATTTTTGAGCAAACCTTGCATATTTTTATACCATGTTCTTACAAATTACGTCAGCTGTTCAAAACATTAGCTAAATCCGGAATTGTTTCTCATGCGTGGCCGCTGTTTTTAAAAAAAAACCGCAAAAAAGGCCTTTTCAGAAAAAATGGCGGCAAATGCACACCAGATACGTGTGAGGAAACTTCAGATTCGGATTCAGCGACCCAAAAAACTAATAGTAAGCCCAAAAAATAGCTGAGTACCTGAAATTCCAGGTAGCCTCATTGTTAGCTACCAGGCGCCTGGACTACTAGGTTAATCTACTTTAATCGTGTTTTTATTACAGCAAATGAGAAAGAGTTCTTGGGGAAAGGAAGTGTATAAAATGATGATGGGGAAAAATGAGAACATAGCCCAATTTTGATTTGCTGCTTGACTGTAATGTATGACAGAGAGACAACTATGGAAAATCTGTGATGAGAAAGGTCTTAATTTTTTTTTCACTGAAAAAAATATAACTTTTGCTATTGCAGCCTACATAATAATCCAGAATTTTTCGAAGATGTAGGTTATGGAATATATTGACGTTCTGCCGGGCTAAGACAGAACGACGTATGAACAATGAAATGTTGTCGAATTTCCCCGACAACATGTTTATTTTTGAAGAAACGTATGCTTAATTATCTATGAAAATCCATATACTTTACATTAAATTATGAACAAAACAGTCCGGAAAATTAGATGAAAACTATTCACAATTTTCCATTGAAATTTTAATTTTATTAGAAAAGATACAGGAACGTCTCGCGTGATTTCAGCCGATTGCGCGTCCATCAACGCCATTGGTGCTTTGCTGATTATTTCAGCCGAGGGCGTCCAAGAGGGTGGAAACCACATTAAAATGGCGGATGATTTGAAAATACAGTAAAAGTTCGTTAAGTCGAATTGTCTGGGGAGCAATGAAAAATTCGACTTAAGCGGCAATTCGAGTTATTCGTTTCTCCGCTTACCTCGAAATCAGCGGGAAAATCGCAAAAATTTGACTTAAGCTGCAATGCCGCCGCTAATGGTACTGCTCATCCTCCTGAAATTGAAGGTTTAACTCATGTCAGAATTGAATTTATCCCGCCCAATGCAACGTACATCCTTCAGCCCCTTGAACAAGGAGTGATAAAAGTAATGAAACACAATTATCGAAAATCAGTCGTTCGGAGGCTTCTTAACTTCATAAACCTCCCAGAGAAACCGCCATCACAAGAACTTAAGATCGACATGTTTACAGCTATGAATTATGTGGCGAACAGCTGGAACTCGATCACAAGCTCGACAATTGTTAATTGTTTCAAAAAGGGTGGTTTCCAACAACAGATGTTTCCACGCAGCGTAACAGGTCACTTCATGACACCAGAAATTGCTACCGCAATTGTACCGCGAAAACGCAGCGTCAGCGTTATGTTGTAAATTTCGTTTGGATTTCGCGGAACAGTTGTGCGCATTTTCCGGAAAATTCCGCCGATTCACATTGATTTGCGCTTAAACGCAAACCTGGTCGATTTTGTATCATTTTGCTCAGTGTTTCTACGATCAGGGGGCCACGATCAGTGCTCCTATCTAAACTTAAATTCATTGGACAATTTGACACGAGTGAAGTTTGCCGCGTATTGCAATCGCGAAACACTCGAAACTCAAGTTCAACACCATCTTCAGTAGACTGATTACTGGAATTGACAGACTGAGTGGACGAAGAGGAAATGGAGCGCTCCTACTGGTGGAAGCGGGTGGTTGCAACCGACGAAAAAGATAAATAATCTACGAACTAACGGCAACCACGAGAGACCTTATAGATGGTAGCACCCCCCCCCCTTGCTTATGATAATCACCTGTTTCAACCAATGAGATCGCTTCATTTTCCTATCGTCCTTTTGGTCTGTCGCTATGTCTATTAAATTCAATTATTAGCCCACTGGCCAGCATCTGCTGTAAAAATATAGACATATAGAGGAATCGGCGGTTGCAGCCCATTTGGGAGCGGAGGTACACGAGATTAATTTGGACCGGAAACATTCGAAAACAAGCGGGAAAGTTCTAACACTGTCGTATTAGAAAAGCCCTCAGGTGTTAGTAAATGTATTTAATGAAGAAAGGACGTATAAACTCCGTCGACTTGGCTGAGAAATGGAAATAAAACATCAGCTGATGGCAAACAAAGGTTACCAAGGAAACCGTAAACGCGTATTTTTGTTTCCCGAAAATGAGCTCACCGTTGAGCTCATCAGGCGCGTTTTTTTTAGGCTTCATTTGAGTTTAACGATCAATTTCGATAAGAATTACTCTACCGCTAAGAAATTTTCATACAGACAAACGATCGAAACTACCTGCGCACTACGTTAAGAGCATAAAATACAGTTTTCACAGCTTTATTTATTTTAAAAATGGACCCTCCCAAAAAGCCTACACATCGATGAGCTGGTGCGCCATTTAAACGCATTAGCACTAGAATACTAGTACTCAGAGGCAAGTCGAAATCAAAAAGCGCTGCCTATCGGCTGAGCGCTTAAAAGTCAGGAGTTAAAAAAAATAATAGACACGTGAGAAAATACATACCTTGATCAATATCAACCATCAAAAAGTAACTAACTCCGGTGTACGAAGCATCAACAATTTGTTTTTGGCAATATTAAAAATGTATAACGTAGATGTTGAAAGTATAGTATGGGCGAACGTCGATGACAATCACCATGGACCGGTTACTGCACGCATAAGCAGCAAAATCAACTGCACCGTAGATTAAAACATGTTGTATTGCATTAAATTTTCGGTATTATATGAGAGCAAGCAACTCTCGAAACGCGTTCATGACTTAAATTAATTTAAATTTTTATTTAAAATTTAGTTAATTAATTAAATTATTTGGACTACATTTTGCAAAAAGGAACTATAAATTCCGGCTCGGTTTAAAAACAATGTATAAGTCATTACTTTCCCTATGAACATAAGTGTTTTTCCAGAAGAGCCAGAATTTATAGGTCCAAATTGCTAAATGCAGTCCATTTCATGCAAGTCGGTGTCTGAATTCTGGTTTAGCTTTATCAAATTCCGAGGAGACAAACTTTCTTCTTGAGTTATTAGCGAAAGTGCGATTTGTCGAGAACAGTGAATTATCACTGAGAACAAGCTTCGAGGGAACTTTAACAAAACACGCAGGTAAGTCCATCCGAGATATCGTTCTAGATATTCGTTGAGTCTATTTTAATCCCTCAGAATGTCGAAGAAATTCTGATCAGTTTTCAGCGGTAAACCAGCAGCTCCAGAAACGCTTTCAAATGTGAATTGATATTACTTATACGCCAAACAGTGTTCTTATAGTTTTTGGCTGTTAAAAATTCAGAAGAAGCCATCTTATACATTTAACCATGTATGGGGCTTATAACTGTTGCCCACCCAAAGGGACTGTAGAATTCAATGACCAAATGAAAAAAAAAGGCATGTAAAATTTACTAGTCAGCTGACAGGAAAATGACCAGCTGATAGGTACTGAAGGTGCTTGAAGATTGTTACAAATTTGTAACGTTTGAAGTCATCTGTTTAGAATGCATTAATTTGAAAATTATGCCCTCAACTGAGACTTTAGACGGTCAACAAGTAGAAAGGGATTTTACCGGTTTCCCGCCGACCAAAAATATCACGATTTCATTCATTGAAAAACATGATGAGGATTAAATTAGAAGTTCAGTAGTCCATCGACTATCCAACCCTCCACTTTTTCTTTTCAACGACGCAAGATTTTCGGAACATGGAAATATTCTTTTTAGAAAAGAATTTGAAGCTTTGAAGTTTCAGGGAGGCTGTATTGGTATCCTGACTAATCCTATGTACTTGCTACCCCCAATGGAAGGATTTGGATTAGGACAGGAAGGGAATCTTCACCTACCCGGCCCACTGGTAGGACTTGCATAGATTATGAATGAGCCATGGAACTATACCTATATCCCTTAAGATCCTCAAACATATTCATCCCCCCACATTTCTTGTATCAAGAAAAGAAGAAAAAAAGAAGGGGAAAAAAATTAAGCAGCTTAAACTGAGTCTCTTTTCTATTGGAAGGAAAACAGGAAACAAGGAAAAAGGAAAAAAGGAAAAAAGGAAAAAAGGAAAAAAAAACCCTCCAAACACAGCCTCCTAGTACACAACTTGCACTACATTTCCATGTTCATAACTTTAGACAAAAAACTCACAGATGGGCTTTTTCTTGTTTCTTGCCGAGATTCATGACTAGTAATTTCATGCCAGCAACAGAACCACGAGATAACACACGGCTGCTTCTACCGAAAAAAAACCTTGGTACGTGCCAGAGAACAAGAAAAATGATCCGATCCTTTTCTTTGATCTTTTGAGTTTCCACATTTCGATAATCATATTTCGTGCAACCGATGAGTTGGAAACAACCATTAAATTTTTGATTTCTCAACTTCCCGACAAATTCTTTATTTGTCCCCCCATCCCCCACCGTTGCATCAAGTTGGATAATCCAGGAGCTCCAGTGCTCCGCACTGCGCAGACGGAATGATAGCTCTTTCAACTATCTTCCCGATGAGTACATATTAGATAGTTCTACAGAAACACAGAGTCTCCAATATTCCCCCACACAAAACAGGCAGTTAACGACGGAGACAGGATATTTTATAAAATACCACTTCAAAATTTAAGTAAAAAGGTAATGATTCAATAAATTATTTTGTACAATGATAAAAATGATACACGTATGATTACATAAAAAACGCATATAAAATTGAGAAGCAATGTGCAAGAGGATCACTACACTGATCAAGGGTTGATTATTCTGCACAATTTATGTTTTTTCAGGGTTTTAAAACCACATTAACTTTCCTGATAGTAAGCACACAGCTGAATGTTTGATTTTGGTTGCATGTTTACAAAGAAAAGGTGAGGTTCCTGGTTGACTCGTTGACTTGAACAATTTCGAGATAAAAAGGATAGACTGATGCTTTTTCTCAGCATCGATGCTTTGAAAAAGAAGGAACAAGGGAAAAAATAGTAAAACAAGGCTAAAATGTTTCCGGTCTGCATTTCAGTCTTGTTTTAGCAATTTTTTCTCCCTGCTTTTCACTTGTATTGTAAGAGCTTCCATTGTTATTAATGAGTTATTGGAACTTTCGTATGGGTCTTAGTTTAAAGCGATTGAAACCCCCGAGAACCAGTAAAATGAGATCCACATTCAGAGGGTCTGGAGACTTGATTATGGAACGTGTTATTGAGAGAAACATATGACCCTATATTTCCAGCCTGCTTGACAATGAATTGAAAAATAAAAAGATATCAAAGACATGGAGAAGTGTGCAAGTAAAACTTGAAGTTATGCGATCTCAATTCTCCACAGACCACTTCTTACCCACTCAAACCCACGTGACATTGAATATTCTTAGATAAATCCAGACCTTATTCAGGAACGTGTAGAAATTTAATTCCTCAAAATCTCTATCACAATGTTGATCGAGGTTTATTCAACATATTCAGTCGAAGACACTTTCAAAATGACCTTTTTGGAATTTGGACAAAATAAAATCAATACCTCTGAGGAAAGAAAACCTTATCACAGAAATTGTTCCCAAACTTGAAAAAGGCCGGTAAATAAAGCGTGATTCATCATTAACAGATTGCATTCTTAAAAAGAGCGGCAAATAATAGGTTTCGCGGTACATATTATTATTGAGAAGATCATATTTAATGCTTCAGATCGGTTAGTGCAAACTTCCAAGGACGTTTTTCCTTTTTCGACGTTCTTTGTCAAGTTGAAAATCAATACAAATTTGAATTCCATGATCTTCACCGTCTTAATTGAAGTTAATTCAGAACCAATGCCTGACTAGAGTCTGAGCCAAAAACATTCAAGAACTTTTAAAATATGAATGAAAATTAGCTGTCTTAGTTAAGCATTGAATGAAAATATAAGAATCATGATTGTGGATTTTCTGTCGCTCTCTACAATTACGTAAACTTGCTTGGCATGAACTCTATGATGCAATCAAGAAAAATCATAACAGCCGGATTAAAAGTAAACGGAAACCGAAAATCGTTCAATAAATCTATCCCCGAATTCTATCCAAGAAGGTGATACATATTTAGTACATCTCGGCTGCTTGGAATGTGGGTAAAACCTAGTATTTAGAAAAAAACCATTGTATAAAATAAAAATCAAGACATCCGAATACTTGTTTTTTGGCTTCTTGACCCTGTCAAAAATTTAAATTGGCAGAAAAATAAAAAACAGTAATGAAGAGATGCCCCTCTACGCATTTAAAAAATACAAATAACATTTTAGGTACGTGATTATAAATACCTACTTACAAAACACTAACAAGATACTTAGAAAGCCAATAATGACACAATTGACCATCAAGTCAGCAACAGTAGGTAATCTCAGAGCAGAAGCTAAATGTTGAGTACTAAATCACCTACTCAATTTACATTTCATAAAAATTTATGTAGAAATTTTAAAAATACTCTAAAAAGCTCAAGGATCTGAGATTAAAATCGATTTAGCAGAAATTAATCCTCTCTTTGGGCTCTTTACTAAAAGTTTTCAAAACATTTCTACGAAGATTGCACACAGATTTTTTGTAAACAAAAATTCAATTCCTTGGTTAAAGAAAAGGCTGTAGGAAGATACATAAATAACATACCGGTTTAAATAATTTTCAGTACTGTGCTGCACTGGAGGTTAACTATTCTTAGCACAGAACAATTAAGAAATAAATGAGAGTAAAAAATAAAAAAAAATAAAAAATGGAAGACAAAGAACCTTGAACAATTCTTCCAAGACCAGAATGCTCCAACAATAACTGAACGATGTGTGAGAATAAACCAACATGCATTTTTATGAACTGCATGATCGCTTATTCTCATCAAAATGGAACAGAGAAATTAATACTGCACTAAAAAAGGTAATCAAGCATCTTGCGTACACAGTGCGATGCTAAATAATTTTCGTATCTTGTATATTCACTAACAATGGCAGATAATATATGATAAACTAATTGCCTTGGTACACATAATAGAAATATTAAAAAATGGTGTAACATAATTGAGAAGAACGAACTTAGAAGGATTGTCTTCCGATGATCTTAACACCTACCTTTGGTATAAGCAGCCTTGCCAGGCGTACAAGAATTCGCAAGCTGCGAGTAATGGAGCCGTTGGCTAAGTATAGACCAACAACTGAACCAAAAATTTTGGGAGTCTATACTTCTCGCATGGTCATAATTTAACATGACACAGTTTGGAGTGCTCATTCCTTCGTACAAACCCGACAGCACGAAAACTAATTTAGTTTAAATATGATAAAATTTCAGTTCCACACAATTCTTACCTGAGGAGAGGTATATACTCTTCAATAGGTACAAAATGCATTTCGGGTACCACTTGCCTACAAAAATAAAACAAATTTTGGATGTAGAAAAAAAAGGGGATAAGAGGTATTGTACTCACACGCTGGAACAAAAATTTCCTTATCACAATCTCTCACAATAACGGTGAGCCTTTCACAAATGGAATGAAATAATCCTTGAGACGAAGATAAATCACAAATTCCTTTAAGCAGGGGAATTTAGAGGTTATGCACGGTTTGTGACTGCAGGTTCTCCGGTCGATAGTAGTGTGCATGCGCTGCAAGGGAGGGGTGAATCGGTGGCGGGAAGCAGCGGACATGTTCGACTGAGGCACTGTCGTGTTCGCTTGATTTCAGGTATTTGTTTAACGTTGCGAATATCTGAGAGTTCAGCACCTGGAACCTGCGGATTCGGTCCACCATCCGTTTGAGGTTCTGAAACAAGAAATTAACAACACTCAGAGAACCTAGCTCAGGAAACAGATGGATGCTTTAGATAATTAAGGATTTTAAGTGTATTCACACCACATCAATTGATCTTTCTTAGACAAGATTTGTCTTTTATTTGGGCAAATCCTGATTTTTCAATTATTTCCACTGCATGCAGTTGTGTATTGGAATGCCTGCTCAGCAAGGTTGCTACATAGTGAGAAAAGATATGGACGTTTGACATTCAGTTAAATGTAGAAATGTACTGAAATTTCAGCATCAATGCTGTTCAGACCATGAATCTCGGCAGAGGAGTCACTATGCGTCACTCATAAATATATCTGCAACAGGACAGATATTTTTCTGTGTTATCTTTGTTTTCTCAGCAATTTCTATCAGAGTAGAAGCTCAAATTATGCAACTTTAAACTTCGGTTTTTGTAGGTTGTTTTCGCTCAAAAAAATTCAAGAAAATTCCTGTGAGCTGAGCAGGCTGTCTACAGCATCAGCAGGAAATATTTCCCTGACTTTTGCAGGTTTTCCCTCACAAAAATTTTCTGACTTTCCATGTTGCCTATTTTCACACATGGAACTGAAAAAGACAAATTTCTGGCATTGGTTAATTTCACTACAAATTACGAAACGTAACTCAGAGCGTTGAGCTCCGAACCAAACTAATGAGCTTTATGTCAATCAAGTGGCAAACAGTGATGTTTTTTCAGATTTCGAAGTTCAAGATTTGTCAAATTTCCGTTTTCTGCCATAAAATTCCATAACTTTTCCCAGGTTTCCCTGACCTGATGGAATTTCCTGACAGTTCGTGGTTTTCAAGACCTGAAGGCATCCTATTAAGTCTACTTTTTACAAGCCATTAATGAAAGGATTCATAATCACTGAATAAGCTCTTGGAAAATACTGAAAAATAATTCATGAGAAAAAAAAAAAAAAAATTCAAAATAATAAACGTGGGTTATTAGATAGGCGAATATTGAAAAGAAATAAAAGATCTGATTCTGTCTTGAAAGATTCAAGACTGATTTGGGGGAGGGGGGGCGACAAAAAAAAATTTAAAAGAATGATTAAATGGACTTACAATGCCTTTGACATTTTCATCTTTCCCGTCAACCCTCTGGACTCTTAAAATATGATAACAGAAGTCGAGGGCTTCGAATCTGCGTTGCTGTCCTAAGAGAACGATCATCGTGCAGCCAGCCCAGTTGAGACCTTCACCGAAAAGTTCCCTGGAAGACGACACCAGAATCATAGTAAAAAAGAAAGTAAACCATCAAAAGATTTACGCATATTAATATTTATATAAATACTTTCTACTTAAAATAAACACTCTTTGAAAAGGAGTCTCGTCTTGCAAGAGCGATGAGTGAAGTAGAACACCGATTTTTGGAGGGAGGTCCTGGAGGACTTTCTCGCATCTACTTGCACTAGATTATTTATTAGAGTTATTATTGCAGGAAAATACTAGAGCATACAATTTGATGAGATTAAAAGGAACAAAGAATTAAAAATATTGCAATACATCCATATTTGGACACATTTAAGCAGTGCAACACTGCACAAATGCCTCTCTGTTTCTTCTTTGGGAAAAAACAGAACCCTTCAACATTTACTTTGAATTTCTTACACGTCAAAAACAGTACTGCACCATAATTTAAAGAAAAACAATGTCATGCTTTATTTAATAGGAATGAAAACTGCCCCAATTAAGACACGCAGAGACGCAGTAAGCAACATTTCGGAGAAAAAAAAAGGAGTTGGGAGTAGTTTTGAATTTAACTAGACATCCTCCTGTTGTAATTTTGATATCAAGAAAGAGTACTCACTCAACAGTGAATTCCGTCTCTCCGACAGGAATGGAATAAACGAATTGCAGAGCAGACCACAGCCTATGAAATTCCGTGCACTCATCGATATTCATGACTCCGTTGGTGGGCGGTACTCCCACCCAGATGGGATCATCTAGGAACCCTCGAAGGCGAGACAAGACTATTTCGAATATCGACAGACCACAGCACAATCTCTCGCGGGTCAAAAGGTCTCCTTCTTTGGCAATCATAGTTTGCTTGAGGAGAATAAGAAGCAGAAATTAATGATCAAAACCAAAAGAAAAGAAAAAGTAGAACAAAAGAAAGACAGAAAAAAAGATCTTGACATTATCAGAGTGTCTACTAAAACAGGCTGGCCAAAAATCAGTACTTTTACAGTACTTTTTCAGTACATTCCCAAGAAATTCAGTACCTTCTTGACATTACATATTCAGTACTTTTTCAGTACCTCCAATCGAAATTCGAACCTCGAAATTCGAAAAATTTCAAAAATTTGAATTTCTCGCTCAAACTGCCACAAAAATATGACAAAAAATGAAAAAAAATTCTTGACCTTCTAGCGGAATTTCCGCACTTTTTCAGTACTTCCGGACCTAACCTAAAAAATCAGTACTATTTCAGGACTTTCCGGACTTGTAGATACCCTGATTATACAGAACCACGCTTGAAAAGCAAGCTGATGAGGCTGAATTGCTCCTATTATATTAAAGATCTCATTTGATAAATGGACGTATTTCTGTCAAACGGAACTATGTGCATTAAGACGTGAGCCTTGTTATGCATGTATTCTTATGGGTCTCAAGGCTCATGTCTTAATGCAAATAGTTCCGTTTGACAGAAATACATCCAAATACAATTGATATTATCAAGTTATTTGGACGGATTAAAACTGGAATCAGCCTTAATGCATTTGATGTTGTCCAATTTTCTCACAGAGCGATGAGAATCATAATATTAGTTACTTTCGTCGTATCTAAAAGTAAGCTGTAGCATAAATTCTTCTTTTTGATAGAATGCCAACTTATAATTTACTCACCTTGGCAGATCCAAGTTTTTCTACATGCGCGACCACATGAAGAGAATCAAATTTGGCTTCTAGCTTCCGCAACTTAACTTCTGGTTTTTCACCCTCTGGAAAAATAAAGCAAATTATTAGAGAATTGCTATTAAAAAATCAATTTTTCAAACACAAGAGCGAAATACGATAATGAGCTATTACAAAGGCTATGAGATTAAGTACTGTGCAGCATTACTGCAGCATATTTGCGAGGAAAACAAATTACACAACAAGATGTCAAGAAATCAACTCCTGAACAAGATTAAAAGTTTACAATTAACATTGGTTAAACGGCAAAAATACAAGTGATGTCATTTGTATTATCTGACTTCCACTTTATTTAATTTAAAATATTTGTTCATATTTTATTCAGGACTTGATTTTGGAACTTTGTATTGTATGAAATCTGCAAAAGATTTTAAACAGAAAACGTCCCATATTTTTTCTGAGTTAAGACTTCATCTTTCTATTGGAAACAGGTATGAAATTTTTCTTCACGAAAAATTTTAAGCATACAGTCTCATGAAATTGAAAAAATCTAATTCTTTGCTGAAAGAAAAAATGTCAGGATTCCCCAGCAAAATCCACTTGCTTTCCAGAGTTGGACAAAATTCTCTAACTTTTCAAGACCCCTCTAAAAATGTGAAATTTTTTGGAGGGGATCTTGGAGTAGCCGTTGAGAGATTCATATTTCGAATACTTTTCGGACATTTCAAGCTTCAGATGGAGAGAATCTTTACCTTTACAAAACGGCCTTGGCAAGATGTTCTGGAATGCGGCAGCATGGACTAGATCGCACGTTTCTTCTTGGGAGAGCGCCTGCTCCATGAGCAGACAAAATAGGATTGTGTTACCGAACTCACGGAAGTTGTGAAACAGTTCCGTCCTGGCATCTGGGTATTGCACGATATCGTTTAATTGAGCATGATAATAACCTAGGACCCCTGGAAAATAGAAGAGTGATTATTAATTATTCTTAATTCACCACAACATTACCATGATTAACTGACTATAGCTCAAGGACTTTTCAAGGAATTTAAATGAGTAAAATGGGCCTGTTGGAAGGTGCAGGGATTTGCAAATTGATGCCTGATTGTTATGGCAAATTTCACGAAAAGAACGATGGCGCTACTAAAAAACCTTGAAATGACCTCTCAAACTCAAAAAAAGCTGTTTTTGGAACCAACCCATTCAAAACGGTCGTTTTTCAACCGCCATACTTGTGATTGGTGGATTCTGTGCTTGTGACTTGAAATGATATGACAGACCTGGTTTCTTCATCACTTACAATGTATTTCCCCGTAAGGAAATGGCAGCCGCTTTTCAAATGCAAATATCGAGTCAATCGATAATTTTTTGATCAAAATGGAAATCAAAAATGGATTCCTCGTACGTTTAAATGGTTAAAACCTTCATTAGATAAATAAAAACCGACGGGATAAACCCTATTTTTAAGGAAGACTGTAGTCAATGGGCGATTGTTTACATCTGCTTAGTGATAACAGACATGGACAATAGCTCAATATTTGGCCATTTTCATGAGTTTTTACTTTTTTGTCACTATTTGAAGGTAAGTTTATTTTGTAAATCAATTGCTTAGTGCCTTAGGATCATGTTAAAAGCTGTAAAGGTATACTTTGTTACTTATTAATTCAGAACACACTCCGGCAGTTCAACGCTCAAACCATGGATGTTCTCTCAATGCGTGTAAATCATTCTTAACTCTTCAACAAACATCTCCATATCATTCAGAACGTTCCCACGTTTTATGAACTTATGTTATTTTAAAATCCTGTGTGTTTTAAGTGTAACACTATACAGAAAAATTTATCGATAAAGTCTGGTAACCGAAGAAGGATCCTGTCTACTTTCCTTGCCTCCAGCTAAAACATACCAGTCTCCTCATCTCATCAGTATTGTCAAAGGTAAGTTTTTTTCATCATCAATGATTGATACTATCATTTTGGTGTCTTCAGTGAAGCAATAAAGGGTGAAATAGTAAGAAATAACAACTGACTCGCTACATCCAGGTTTGAGCGTTGGACTGCCGAAGTGTGTTCTGAATTAATAAGTAACAAAGTATACCTTTACAGCTTTCAACATGATCCTAAGGCACTAAACAATTGATTTACAAAATAAACTTACCTTCAAATAGTGACAAAAAAGTAAAAACTCATGAAAATGGCCAAATATTGAGCTATTGTCCATGTCTGTTATCACTAAGCAGATGTAAACAATCGCCCATTGACTACAGTCTTCCTTAAAAATAGGGTTTATCCCGTCGGTTTTTATTTATCTAATGAAGGTTTTAACCATTTAAACGTACGAGGAATCCATTTCTGATTTCCATTTTGATCAAAAAATTATCGATTGACTCGATACTTGCATTTGAAAAGCGGCTGCCATTTCCTTACGGGAAAATACATTGTAAGTGATGAAGAAACCAGGTCTGTCATATCATTTCACGTCACAAGTATGGCGGACCCAAAACGACCGTTTTGGAAATCCAAATTCTGAGGCGTTTTTAAGTTGATTTTTTGGGGGTTTCCGGTGATCAAAAAACTCCGGGAAAATTCCTGTGACATCAGGAGCCTCAGTTCTTTCGATTAAAGCAATAAAAAAAATTGGTGCAACAGGCCCATTATGGAGTGTTAGGGATTTTTCAAGGATAAACAAACAATATTTCCAACACTTAAAGGAATGCCATGGTTAAGAGAGAATAATTTCCTTGCATCTCTGCTCTGCTACATATTTGTAAGAGACACTCAGGTAGCTATTCGACACTACAAAGACTAAATAATCAAAGAGAAACTGATCTTCCAAACAATGGAGAATTTGCAGGTGTCCGAAATTTTGGGAATTTCCTGTTTAAAATGATACCGCTAGGAAAACTGAGTACAAGGGTATTCTTGGTTTCTCAATTGGACAGTTATTGGAGAAAATATGATAAAATAACCTAATTTGCTAAAATACATGTGTTTAGATGGAAAATGCTGCCAGATGACATCATTTGGCGGCACATTATCTCACTTTTAAATCTATTTTTCACCAATTTCCCATGTCAGAAAAAAATTATGAAAAATACTGCGAACTCAACTCATTAGGCACTTGCAGATGAAACAATACAATTTTTGTGTGCAAATTCTCCATTGCTGACGAAAAATAAAAAATCCTTTGATTTACTAGCTGCTCCGGGCGCCCTACGGGCGCCCTCCACAGCTAGCAATAGTGGTGCGG